TATTGGGCATAAATCAAAAATGTCTGCATCATACCTGCAACAAGCTCACCGCATGTCGTCACCAACTTTCATCACAAAGTTCCTCCCTTTCTATCTGATGAGATGCTGTATAGAAGCTGTTCCGCCCATAGATCACATGCCCATAACATCAGTCAATACTGACTCTAAGCTATTGTGTTTCCTTCCAATTTAAAACCACATTACTAAACAAAACTCCTTTTCCGAGAGTCGGCTGGTATTTATTTATTTATTGTATTTATTTATTTATTGTTGTCAGCTGGTATTTTCTCACCGACTGTTAGGTCCATAGTATGTCTTTCTCCCAGCGCTCTGAGTCTGTAAAGGCAGCCGCTCTGGTAGTAATATTGAAGGAACTGGACAAAACCTACACACAAAGAAAGAGATTAACAAGACTTTAAAACAAAGGGGGAAAAAACGGCTTTTTACAAGAACTTTACTTCTTTTCAGTGTTAATATAGTAAAAATATAACTGTGGATGTCTGGGGGACAGTGATTCGCCTACATGTTATCAATGCTGGCGTACCATAAATGATAAATTATGAACAGTTTAGTTTGTGTCTTCAAATCGTTTCCAATAGGAAGACGTTACTTGGATATAACCTAACGGAATATCTTCAGAACGGCTCCAAATGACACAAAACTTAAATGAGGGTGAGTAGAACATGATGGAATAATGTAAAATCAAGAAACCAATGTAAAAAAAAACGGCGTTCCCCTTTAATTGAACTGAATAAAAAAAATATTAATCTACATTTGAGGTTTCAATGTCTAATTTATGTTATTTTGTTATATATTTTTGGTGTGAGTGTGGAAAGAAAATGATGTCTAAAGCTCCAAACATCTAAATAACCAGCTGCGCTGACAAGTAGATAATGAGCCTTTTTTTAACCCTTAATGTAGTGTGGAACTGGCATGGAAAGGATTTCTTACTTTGATAGAGATTGTATGAAAGAAACTGGTTCCTAAACATCTGGTAGAGGGCGCCATCAGGCCTGCGAACAAAGATCACATCAGGTGAGACCAACACAGACAGTACAGGTCAGTGAGTTTAGTTCATTTCATTACAAACTGCTCTGGATGAGTAGGAGTTAGGAAAGAGGTTTTACCAAGTGAGCATGACTCCAGATAAGAAGGTTGACACATAGTGATGGAAAACCCACCAACCTTTGATCCTGAAACAGGAAACTGGCATCAAAGGATGTTGGGCTCTGAGATATAACACTAATATATGAACAGAGCTGGTTTTTATTCTATGATTATTTCTGTTTTTATCACATGACAACAATAAACGTTGATATTAGAGATGCACGATATTGGGATTTTGGCCGATATCCGATATG